TCGTAGCGATGGCTTCCAACCTCCTAGCGGTGGCCTCCAACCTGCTAGCGATGGCCTCCAACCTACTCCGATGGCCTCTCCAACCTGAGAGCGATGGCCTCCAACCTCCTAGCGATGGCCTGTTGTCACTCTCTCAATCTAACTTGCAATAGCGATGTCATGCTGACGTGCGGTTTTGGTGACTTTGACTTTGACTTTGAACCTGCAAGCCTGTCGGCAGCCCCTTTGGGCGCAGGTGGGACAAGTGAAAACCAACCAGATAGGATTATCTATATTACGATGGCTTTTCATCCATAACCACAAAACATGCAAAAATCATCCAGCAATCCATGCCACAAATCAGGATCACGAGCCAAAACCTGCCAATTGCCCAAGTGTCGGTAACGAGTGTACGAGACAAATTTACTTGGCCAACTTGCGTGGGGGCAACCAGAACGACGACGACCCAAAGGGTTCCAAGCAAGCACCCGGTGGATCCAAACAAAGCAACTGGAGAAACGGTGGCATCAAAATATTGCAATCGATCTTTCAAACGCGCTGTGTGATCACAAAGAATTTGTTTGTGAGAGAAAAATGTCTTTGAAGCAGCTTGCAAATGGTGAGTTACGTCTAAATTCGTGCGCCCACTGTTCCCCATACAGAAAATGCACCCCAACCATTTGTGTCCGGACAAACCTGATTTCACCTGCAAACGCTGTTGCCGTGGTGTCTTCAGGAAATGGGGTGGCCGGGCTTCATTGGTCAAGAGCACCGTCTTGTCCACATTCAGAAACAACCCAACTTCGTCCAACACATTTTCGAGGGCATCCAACAATTCCAAGCACTGAAGCGAAGTGGAACCGAATATAAACATACCATCAGCGAACCTCAAATCCAGCAATCGTGGCAAACCGTCATGCATGTCAATGCCTAAGCCTTCACTTTCCACTTTGGAACGCCACTTGCCCATGGCCCATTGCAATACTCCAGTGAAAAGCCTAGGACTGAGAACACACCCTTGTCGCACGCCCCCATTAATTGAAAATTCCTCACTGAGGTCAGTTTCGCCTCTGACATGACCACGCTGGCTGAAATACAAGCACTGTATGATCCACACAATGTGTTCAGAAACGCAGAGGTCCAAAAGTGCAATCCATAATTTGTTCCAATCAACTCGGTCGAATGCTTTTGACAAATCCAGACTGATGACCCACACGGGCGTGTCGATTGCAAAGAATTTATCAACAACCAAGTTTGCAGTGACCAGATGTTCTTCCAAACGATGGTTTGGACGAAACCCATGTTGCTCTTCCGGTTGACAAGCTTCAATCGCAGGTTCAATCCGCGCAAGTAACATGTAAGCAAAATTCCTGTAAAACAAACGAACCATGGCAATTGGTCTGAAATCACCTGTGGTTTTTGCACGCCCCGACTTCGGCAACATGATGAAATGTGTAATCAACCACGACGGAGGCGCATCGCCGCTGTAGAGGACGTCATTGAAAAGCAACAACAAGTCAGAGAGAAAACCATCCGGAACATACGTATTGCAACAACTCAGGGACCAAACCAGCATCATCGTTTCCTTTGTTGGGTTTCAACCCCAAAATTGCAGCACGTAGTTCCTCCAGGGTAAAACATGGTTCGGTCAACACTGCGGGTTGTGAAAGGGGAGCAGGGTTGCCAAGCAGCGACGTTGCGAATTCATCGAGGGGAGGATGCTGAACGAGCCGCCTCCCAGAGATGGAAATGTGCATGTTCCGCAAAACTTTCCATGAACCCGAGTGCGCCAATTTCTGGCGTAGTTGCATCGATTTCCATTTAGCGTTTCCTGCCGTTGGCGTTTCCGAATTTAAAAACTTAATTGTTTGCGCAGTTCAAGATCAACAGCAGTCCTGCGTGACCTTCGCAGTCCTTTACGGCAATCTGAAGGGACAAATTTCACCTTAAAACCATGAGGAGCGCCACCTGTCTGTGCAGCTTGTGCCAATACACCCTCCAAATTCGCAAACGAAACCTCGTCGTGTGCATTATACTGTTCAGAAATAGCGTCATGGATTTTTTTCGGGACACCTGTCTCATCAAGAAAAGGTTTCCAACCTTTCAGTGAACGCTGTTTGTCTTTCTTCCCAAGTGTAGGGATCGTAAAACGGATGTTGCAATGCACGCAGCGATGGTCCAACCCAATGGGCAGAATGAAATCACACCAAGTGGTTACAAGTTCTCCACGTCCATCGATCAGAATAAAATCAATCTGTACTTTGGCGCCATCGAAAGACCTGCAACAAGTCCAGCTATCATCAATCCGATCTGCATCACCGTGCCGGCTTGCAACGCACAAACCCTCTTCCAAAACAAATTGTGCGGTTTTGGTGACATACTGACATGTTGTCACGCTGAGGCGCTGAAGGGTTGTCATGCCGATGTGCTGACATGATGTCATGATGGTTTGTTATATATATATATATATTTATACATATATGTGTGTGTATTGTGTATATGTGTGATGTGTGTGTGTGTGTGATGTGTTTTCACATACGTATCTGTAAATTGTCTGTTTTTCGACATGCTGACATGTTTTCGCTGGTATGCTGGCATGGTCTCACGCCGACATTTTGTCACGCCATCATGCTGACATGTTGTATCATGTTGTCATGCTGGCACTCTGACATGGGTCATGTTGACATGCTGACATGTTGTCACCCTGAGTTGCTGAAGTCGGGTCATGCTGTCACACTGACATGTTGGCAGGCCCCAGAGCGGGTTCTGGAGCATGTTTCCTGGTTCTTGCTTGTTGCGGCGGCGTTGTGATGCATACACATGTGTGGGCACATGTGGTATGCCATATGCCGACACATTGCCGGGTGGTGATGTCCGCGCATGGCACATTGAAAAGGCTCACGTGTCTCAGGGCAGCATTGCTTGGCAAAGAAAGGGCGCTTGTTGGTGAACCTGCGATGTTGCCATTGCCTAATAAACGGATTCACGCTCAGCTGTTGGAGATTTTTCTGTGGGGGCTTATGCATTCGGGCTCATGGGTTCATTCTTTTTTTGGGGGCGTGGTGCCTCTCCGACACGGTGTTGCTCAGACGGCATGGGAGGCCCACGACACCAACATGGGCGGCACATTGCCAACCGAGCGTCATGCGTCCTCTCAGTCCGCACGCCAGGCGGTCGCAAGACTTGGATGTGGGGGGAGGGCAGAGAAAGAGTGAAACTCATGGGACCTCGGCAGGACCTTGGAGTCTGGTTCTTGAGTGTGTCGTTTGGAAGGCCAACGGGGAGAAGACGTGGTGAACTGCTTGAAGCGGCACTTGCATCACGAGCCTCATAGCTCAGTTGACCGAGAAAGGTGTAATTTAGCTCGAAGGATGTTCCCAATCTGTTGGTTTGTGTGCCCGTGTTGGTCTTTTGTTTTCTTTTTTGGTGAGGTTTGCAAAGCGTCGATCATGTAACCAGTTGGAGATGAATATTCTTGCTGTATCCGAGACTTGGATATATCGCAATTGTTTCGAACCGTTTTGATCTCAGAATTTTCCATGTGGAAATTCTCGGGGTTGTCCTTCAGGAGGCATGGCTCACCAAGCCAACATCAAAGGCAAGGGTCGTTGAATCGCATACCGGTGCCCTTGAGTGGGATCCTCTGCCAGGTGTTTTGTGCAGCCCGAGCTGCTGTTGCAGATGCATGGAAGATTGAGGAGTCTTCTGTTCTGGCTGTCCGAGAAGGAGGCCGGGACCTCGTGGCGCGAAGAACGCTTTCCGAAGCTCAGTTCGAGCGCCGGTGATGCTTTTAGGACTGATCGGCTTCAAACTTCTTGTGAATTCAACTTTGGAAGTGCAGAACTCGGACAGTCTGTTCTGAGGAACGATAGCTATTCTTCCTTTGCTTGAAGCGGAGCTGGGATGTGACTTGAACTTTCTGGGCAATCAGTTGCATGTCATTGCAATAAACAAGAAGCTACTAGTAACAAGTGCATCGCTACTAGTAACAAGTGCCTTACTACTAGTAACAAGAAGCTATTAGAAACAGTTGCATGTCATTGCAAGTGAAGCAAAGTGCGATATTGTTTGGATCACAGCCTCGTGGGCACAAGCTGTCTGAGAACTGAGCCTCCAAGGCGACGTGGTTCAGATGGCCTTCAGCCAGGTCTGCACACACAATCGCACCATTTTGGATGAAAACGATCCATGTAGACCCAGAAGCAGCTCGCTTCCTTTCTGAGACTCCTTTTGACTAGTTTTTGAGGCATCGGATGCTGTCCACCTGCCGAATGAACGCATGTCGCGCGCAGTTCTGGCACGAGCTGTTGATGCAATAGCAGGCACGTTCGAACCTGGTAGACGGCCCAGTCGGCCGAGCATCGTGGAGGTCTGTTATGAAGTTTAAGGGTTTCAAGGAAAGAAGATCAGGTTTCACGGCCATGACATGTTTGTGTTCAATTCATGGCTTTGATCAGGTTGAACCGATTTTCTGTGCTCTTCAGTTATGCTGTGATGCCACGGATGCAGGAACTCTCTCTCGCCTTGCTGAGGGGTAGGCGAGCCTCCAGCTAGCATTCTCAGGACATTTTTTATTGAGCAACTTTCATATTTCCTTTAACATTGCGGTCATGCTCTGTGCCCTTTGTACATAACGCTTGAGTGGCGCCCAGAGCCTCATTTTTGGCCGGAACGAGACCAAATGTCACGGCTGTTTCTGCCTTCCGGCTTTTCCACGGACGACCCGAGAACTGGGTCGGAACAACGTCGGAACTGTATCACAGGCGGATGCGACCAACCTGGGGAGCCCGCGACCGGAGAAATGGCCAACCCAAGAGCTACGATGGCCTTCAACCTAGTAGCGATGGCCTCCATTTCCTGCGATCAATAGATACCAAAGGGGTGAACCAGCAGGTTTCTTTTTTCTTGAAAGTTCACTTAGTGCTTTCGGCCCCGCAGCCAAGCAAGTGAACGAGGACGCAAACAGTTGATTCTTGCAAGATCTCGTGGTTGAGCCGTTGAACCTGAAGATTTGCCCATAGAGTTGGACCTCGAGTTGGGCTGCAGGTCCCTTCCATTGCATCCTTTTTTGGCTTCAAGGCTCTAAGTGTGGGGCGCCATGGCTGATGGGCCAGATGGGCCACAAGGTGGGCCACAAGGTGGTCCACACGGAGGGCTCCCACACCAGCCAGAAGTGCCAGGTGATAAGGTGGAGTACAAGCTTCAGGGAAGAATCTTGTCGGTCAGAAAGGCCAATGGAAGTGTCTCCCCAGTTCTGACTGGAAAAAGTGTCGTGCTGAAGTCTGTCACCCAGGATGATGGCAGCAAACGTTCCATCACTAAGGCCACTTGGTTCACTCCGCAGTTGAGCGTGTCAGATGAGGAACGGGAACATGTCCGGATGCCATTCAGAGAGAAGCCACGGGAATGGCGCAAACAACGTCCACATGAAAGGCATGGGAGGTATATGGACTCCATGGACTATCACATGAGCATGCAGAGGGATCATGCAGAGGCTTCTGTGCCGCAATTCGCTCAGACCTTCACAGATCACAGGAGCTATCAGAATGATCCTGGATCTCTCCAGGGCCCGCCACTAATGGCAGACTTGCGCCAAACGGCCGCAGGTGAACTTGGAGCGCCAAGGGGGGGGCGTTCGAAGACGGACAGCCCGGAGCATCCAGAAGTCACCTCCGGCTCAGCGGCCCCAGGAATTCAAGGGATCCAAGGGGCGCCTCAAAGCATCGAGCCAGTGAACGTGCCACACGTGCCACGCGTGCCAGAGAACGTGCCACCAGTGCCGGGTGTGATTGAGACAGATTTTGTGCCAGAGATGGCCCATTCTTCGGATGATCAAGATGGAGATCACGCAGAGCAAAGCCTTGAGCTGGACGACATCTTGGACTCCAAGAAGGGCTCCAAGACCTCTGATAGCCGCCCCAACACCGCCGAGAACGGCTGGGAAAAGTCGGTGGTGCGGATCTTGGGGCTGCTGGAGGAGCATTCCAAGTTCAAGAAAACCGCCTTCCGTTCACGGCGCCGATTCTTTAACAACCTCTTCTTGTCCGCTCGCCTGGGCATGTGGATGGTGATCTTGTCCGGGCCGGTGATCGTATGGCCCGTGGCACAGTATTTCAACGACTTTGGGGACCGAAGTAGCAAATATATGGCCAGCTATGGAATGGCAATGTCCAACTTTTGCTTCTTGCTCTCGCCCAACGTGGGCATGGGAATTCGCTATGCCCTAGAGGGTGTGATTGGAACACTGCTGGCGCTGGCAAACATGCTGATGCTCAACCAAGCCTTCGGAACTTTCATGCATGGAGGTGCCTATGCGACCAGGGAGGAGTTCACGGATACAGCTGCAAACATGGTGATTTACAGGTCTGAGTGGCTTCCACTCTGCAACCTTGGCAATGGAGCTCGTTTTATCACCACCAACTCCACCTCGGAATTCATGCAGCAATGCTTCCTGAACGTGCACTGGTCCTCTATGACCGATGGAGGCGTTCGATCCGCCATTGTCTTGGTGGACCTGGCGCTGTTCACGGCCCTGTTTCTGGGCTTTGGCTTCGGAGCCTCCACCAGGATCTACGCCTTGACCTACCTCACGTTCTGGCTCATGCTCTTTGTGAATCCGGGCTCGGATGCCTACATGGAGAATCCTTCGGACCCCTGGACTCAGTCCATCATGACCTGCATCGGCTGCATGTTGGCGGTGGTGGGGCAATTTCTGCCCTGTCCCAACACGGCCCTGGGCAATGCCACGAAGCTCGGCCGTGAGCTCACGCAGTCCGTGGCGGCCATCCTGGAGAGCCTGCCGTTTGCACCTCGTCACGAGACCCGCGTACCTCTGGAGTCGGCCTTGGAGGCACCCCAGCTGTGGCTGAATGATCTGGGGCAGCTCTGTGGGGCGGCCTGGTTTGAGGCAGGGCCCGGCTGGTTGTGATGTGCCATGGTACAATCCTGGCTGGCTAAGTGACTAAGTGATGTCAGTTATTTTGACTTGATGATGTCTGAAAAGTGTCAGACTTGAGAATCATGGCATCTCCTGTGTTGTTCCCGAGATCGTTGGAAAGCTTTCGGGGAACTTTTTGCCTGGATCCTGTGCCAAGGCTGCTGTCCACCCCGAAGATTCATTAGAGTTCATCCGAGATCTTTATTATAGGCTTATATAAAGTATAGCATCATCCAGCGGTCCAACAATTTCCCATCGAAGTGTGAGAACTCTCCCACGACCGGCCGCCAGGACCTGGGCATTCTCCCGGGCCGTGCGCGGCGACGTCATCGCCTGGAGCAATACGTGGAGCTGCAGGCGGCCCTGCTGCAGCACATGACCTTGGCGTCGCGCCTGGGGGCTGCGTGGCTCGGCGGGGTAAACATCCAGCGAGAGGACGCGACGAACATCGCTGCTGGCCTTACTAGGAACAAGAAGCTACTAGTAACATTGGATTGTTAAAAGATGTTCAAAGTGGACGAAATCCATCAAAGTAGGGATCATTGGTTTCCATCTACTGTATATGTATGGTTGATGTTGTCAAGTTGATTGGTGCTATGTAGGATGGCTTTCGTGGATGAGCTGGCCACAGAAAACCATCACCAATCAATCAGTGAGTATGAAGTCCTGTTGGGGTTCTGATGGGCGATTGATCCATGATAAACGGATCAACACCCACCAAAATCATTGGAATTGTTCCTTCTCCATCCCATATGATGATGGAGGGGGTCATGATGATCTGATGAAGTTGAGAGTTGCAGGTTGACGGATGAGGAGCTGACGAAACTCGAAGAGAAGTTGCCCGCGCTGGTGGACGTTTGTGCTTATGCCGCTCGAGCACTTCCTGCACCAGAAGCTAAGGTTGACCCAGACGTCTTGGAGGATCTAGACCGGGCAGCTTGGCCCAACAGCTCCCATGGATGGAGGAAAAACCAAGCAGAAGAGTCCTAACAATGGTTTAGCCAGTCATTGGGGATTTTTGGCCTCCAACCTAGACGCAAAGGCCTCCAACCTACTGACCTACTAGCGATGGCCTCCAACCTACTAGCGATAGCCTCCTGCCACAAGAGTCCTAACATTGGGATGGTCATTTAGCCAGTCATTGGGGATTATGGGCCGGATATTGGCCCATATCCAGGTATGTGACTGTGATCCATTTTTTTGGCTTTTTGCACCAAGGCCATCAAGGACCTGGAGCGGGAATTTTCCGCGGCCGTAGGCAAGTTTTCCCTGACAGGGCCCATCTTGAGCTTCACGCTGGCGGTCATCTCCATCGCATCAGGTGCAAGATGAGAGATGCTATTAGGTTGGAGGCCATCACATTTAGGTCGGAGGCCATTCCTATAAGGTTCCTTTTGCTATTAGGCTGTTGAGATGCTGAATATGTCTGGTTCCACTGCCCTCATGATCCTCCCAGTCTTCCTCCAGTTGATGATCCCATGATATCATCCATATCGATCCCATGTCCCGGAGGTGCTGTGGAACGAGTGAAGGTCTTGGAGAAGTCGCTGCCGCCCGCCGAATCGGGACTCTGCAGGGTTTGCAGGCCGGTCGACCAACGACGTCGACGTCTCGGTCGACCAACGCAGCAGCCTCCCCAGCAGCCGAAGCAAACCCCGAAGCAAATGATCGCATTGAACGGCTAGCTGTGGCAGCTTTGGACACCAATAAAAAAAGCTCAAGCCCTGGATTTGAATGGTTGATGTTTCTTTTGGGGTGGGGAAAAAGGTGAAGGGTGAGTCGGCTTTATGATGGCCATCAGCTGCAGGTGGTTTTCGGAACTCTTTCGAAGACTGGAACTGCCACAGACCAGATGCTTGGGCCGAAGTGGTGGCAGGATTAAACAAAACGCATTATGAATATGTCAACAGGCATGGCTTCTGAACATCGTTCAATACACCTGTACATGTGGATGTCAATCAATCGGATGAGGATTCTTTGGGAACCTGCCAGATAGGGATGAAAGGAACATCCCCAAGCAGTGATTTTGATGGGCGGATTTCCTTGATGATCCTCCTAAGCAGAAGCTGTTTCTTTATAGGACGTCATCCAAATGGTTTGATGATATTTCCCATCATGGCAAATGATATATATATATATATACATCCATCAAGTCACGATTTAAATCCACCCCTTTTTGTTGTGTCAGCTTTCATCTCTCCAAACTTCAGGAAGCAATCCCTCCCACAAGCTCTTCGTCTTTCGCAGCACCTTGGCCATGGTCCTGGCCTTTCTCTTCGGTTGGGTGGGCCTTGAGCGGGCGATGGTGGCCTACAGCTTCGGCGCGGTGGTCACCGTCTCGGTAGTGGTGGCGAACACCGGGCAGGCGGGCTTCTCCTTGGGCCTCATCATGACGCGCTTAAACAGCGCCGTGATTGGCACCGTGATCGGGCAAGCGGTGCAACAAGTCTTGGCGGTCCAAACGGTCCTTTGGTCGGTGAAGGTGATGGTGGTGTGCCGTTATTTTTTGCAGGCGGTTTCCAGCGTTTTTGTGTCTTTTTTTGGTGGAGAATTTGTCAAAGCGTTTAAAGCAAGATAAGGCTAACCTATGATTCCTAAGTGGCCACGTTGGAAGGATGTTTCAGGTTTGCAGGTTAACCACCACCAAGGTCTTTCATGCAACTCTCTTTGGCATCTTCATCTGGTGCTACAGTGTTTTTCTGATTTTTCAGATCCTGCACTCACCAGATCATGCTTCAACGGCCTTGCCGGTTCTGGCCATCGGCATTGGAGGCCTGGTTCCAGGCAATGGGGTCTTTCGTGTCTACAACGCTCAGATCGAGCCATCAGCCGAGATTGCACTGGCAGCCAGTGTGAAGAGTGCTGTCTTTGGTGGTGGAATCATGTTGCTCATCGACCTGTTCCTCTACTCTAGTGCAAGAGGTGCTTGGAGAAAAGGTGGTAGGTGATCCATGTTTTCATTTTATGTCTCTTTCAATTGAAGAAAACTAATCAAAAACAGGTGAAATGAGGCTCGAATGTCTTAGCAGTGTTGCTGTGACAGCATGAGGCTCGACTCATTAACTTTTCACATCACTTCCCGGAGCTGTCTTTGCCGAGGTATCTGTCAAAATCAGCTGCGAAAGGCTTTTCAAAAGTCCGAGGGCTTGTTGCTCCGGGTCATGGGCTTAAGAGCTTCCACCAGTGCGGCGAATGCCGATGGATCTTCCAATGAAGAAACCCGGGTACTGATGCACTTGGATCAGGTGGCCAACTTGTTACCCATGGCGAAGAAGGAGCCTGCACCTCGTGGCATTGAGTTTCCCATGTTGCTCTTCAGCACACTGGAACAGTCCTTGCGGATCATCGCTATCGAACTGGGCACACTCGAGTGGATGTTGGAAGTCTCATCCAATACAGCTTTGGTTGGACAGGAAGAGTTGCTTGGTGATTCTGAATTCTGACAGATTTTGAGGTGATTTTCACCTCACGGATATTTGGGATGGATTTTAGATCCGACTTTCATGATTTGTTCTTAAACGCTTCAAAAAACACCAACCAGGTTGGGCCCGCTGCTCACTGAGATTGAAGGCTACCTTAGCAAGATGATGTCCTCCTCTCTGGTGATGTTCGATGACATTTGCAAGCGCAAGTTCCTCAGTGCGGCCGCTGCCGGCGACCTGATCTCAGAAGCTTCCAGCCTTCGTCGCGACATTTTGGACAAGGAATACACGCGCATCTCCACAACCAACGCGAAGATCGAAACGCCCAAGGCACAGACACGACGTTTGTCGAATCTGGCGCAGGTGGCAGCTAGGAGGAACTCAACGTCAGGTACCACACACAACTTCCAAAATTTGATCCAACAGATTCGGGAAAAGGCCAAGGAAAATCGTGGCCTGTTGCCCACCTCTGATCTTTATGCTCAAGTGGAGCTGTTAGTTTCCGTCTTGGCCACCGTCAGCAGACACGCCCAGACGATTCAAATCACCTTAGCCCAGTATGGCTAGGACCTCTCATCGGAATCCTCCATGACATGTCACCAGTCACCAGCACTGCCATCTTTGTTCAAAAGGTGGGCGCATTTCTGTGTTTAGCCAGGTTTCACACAGTTTCGAAGGGGAAAACCTCTATCCAGTTGCACGATGTTTCAGTCTTTTCGCTGCGCTCTTAGAGCTGCAGTGCATGAGTTACACAATTAGTCAGGAAGAAAATGGCCGCACTCACATGCGTGCGGACGAGCATTTGTCAGCATGGGTTGGATGGGTGGAATTGAAACGAGTTCTGCAAGTTCAATCTTTCATTTTGGGAATGACTTACTGGTGCTGACTGGGTTGGGAATGGTGCTGGGATGATGAAATGAATGGTGCTGAAATGGGTCAGAACCTCCATTCCCATCCATTCCCAACCCAGTCAGCACCAGTCAGATGGGTACCTGGTAGAGCTGGAGCATGATTTTCTCTCGCCCGAACAGCCTGGTGGTGGGAAGTCTTAACGCGGTTCACTTTGAAACACATTTCGAGTTTGCAGATTGTTCAGGAAAAGATACTTGTTGAGCACATCACCTTAGATATCTGATATCTAACATCTAACTTGCAGTTGCCAATGAGGTCTTGTTCCCACTTGTTGGGTTTCAACTTCGGAGCCTGAGACTAGTGCCCTGTTTTCTGCCAAACCGGAAAACCGGAAAACGGGAAAACAGGACGGTCGAATATCCAAACACATTCATGTTTTCGTTCTCTCTTGATGCTTTTTGTAGAACATGCTTCGCCTGTTGCCCTTTGGCTCTTCGAAAGAACCTTTAGCGCCATGACTATTTGTTGTCGAATGGTCAAACGACCCACATGTCGTCTGCACCTGGAACGCAAATCTTCAGTTCCAAAAATCAAAAAAAGTCTCAAACCGAATTGTTTTTGACCCATAGTAGCAAGGACGCTACTAGGTGGAGGCCATCGCTATTAGGTTGGAGGCCATTACTACTAGTAGCAAGGACGCTAAGTAGATATACCATGAAATGCCATGTGGGTATCGGTATGGGTCAACGATGGCGCCTCACGAGGCGCGGTCTCGACCGCGTCGAAGCTCGCGAGAGAGCGAGGGAGCGAGTCGGAGCGGCTCCGATTGGCTCCTTTTTGGGGCACCTGGTGCTTGGGTGGGAATATGGGGAATGATCCATGATAACCACTACTATTCACAGCAAGCTTTCATTGACGGTCACTTCAATCCAGTTTTGGGAGATGGTTTGAACACATCTCGATCTAAACCCCGCCTCTACATTGATGCTTGCGATGCGTGCTCAGGCCAGGCGTTTCATCCTGACCTGGTCAGGATCAGGGTCCCGACAAAAATCCAGAGTATGATTCGGACTCTGACTCTAGTCATACGCTTTTTAAAATAACAATGGCTCAAACACATTTTTCCATCTTGCGGCATGAAGTTATCCTGGATGTGTGAGGTTTGTCTTTGCAACCACAGCTGCCTCCGAAGCTGTTTCCACTGTAACTTGGGGTTGGGTGAGCCTGTTGTGCCGGAACATGTCCTACGACCTTCGGAGCTTGGCTGGCAGTGAGAGGGTTGCAGGTTCTTTCGGGTGTAAGTAAGATCCTCATTTCAAGCTGTTTTGACTCATGAATTGATGCAGTGGGTCTTACAACTTTCCGCTTTTTGTGTGTTGCCCTTTTTTGAACTAGAGTCTACCTGCTGCGGAATGATGAAGCAAGGTTTATGTGGGTGCCTTGTAAGGCAGTAGTCAGCAGTCTAGGCAGTTTATCGCGTTTCTTGCCCATTTGAGGAGGATCAGCAATCACTCTGTAAGCGGTGGGCGCAATGCCACCATTCTCATGGACCCAGCCACTGCCTCAGATGGAGATGCCTCCGGAAAAGGAAACAAGACGACAAAGACATTGATCGAGCAAGCTTGTGCTGCACAGCAGCATGCCGTGCATGCGGGCCCGTGGTCCTCTCTGGGTCCATTAAAAGAGGCCCGTGGGGCCCGTGGGGCCGGCGCGCCAGTGAGCTGATCGCCGTCATCTGCGATGATTTAAGAGCACGGACACAAGAAGTGACGGAAAACATAGAAGGAGAAGACAACTATAGCAATCATAGCCGTCATAGCCATGGCAATGCCACGCAACTTCCCATCATCACAGCAACGCGTAATGGCAAACTTACCGTCGCCTGCGGTTACTTCAAGAGCTGGAACCAAAGCCACGAAAAACATACGAGGACAAGATAACTACAACAGTCGCATGGCAGGCCCATGGAACTCCCAACCGCCACTGCTACCCCGCCTACTTCTCCCCGTCTTCACCTCAAATAGACGCCCCAAAGGAAAAAACATACATACATACATACATATATATATATATACATAAATGTAATCATGAAGACACATGACAAGCACTCCTTTGCTAAATGTTCTTGGCAATTTCAATCTCAACGTTCTTTGATAGGTATGTGAAGGCATGTTGTCTCTTTGTGGGGTCGGCCGGGATAGGCCATGAAAGGAGAAGGAGTAGCGGACCGGAGGCTGTTACCAGGCAACTAGGCGACACAGAAGGGCTTAGGCTGGGGGGCAGCTTCCTTAAAGAAACCTGAGCCAATGGCCACCCTACTAGCGATGGCCTCTAACCTACCTGATTTTGGTTCCTAGGATTTAGGGTCAGTATTTGCATTTATGAACATCTATTTCAATTCTTCACATGCTGCTCTGAGGAGTATGTGCTTGGCAAGAGCAAGTCTACAGCGAAACCCAATGTTGGAATCCTGCCTGCATTAGAACCATTAGGCCGTGGGAGGAAGGAACTTCAGGGTCTTCTTGCAAAATCATTCTTGTTGGTTTGTCCTTATGGTATTAGGTTGGAGGCCATCGCTAGGAGGTTGGAGGCACAAAACACATTTCATTTCATTGCAAAAGGTGAGTCGGTCCAGTGCTGTCCTCCAGAGATGGGCCAGTTTACTTATTGTTTGTAATAGCTTCTTGTTACTCCTAGTATGGCCAGGAGCCCCTGGTAGCGTCCTTGCTCCTGGTAGTAAGGCCAGGAGCCCCTAGTAGCGTCCTTGACACATTGGTTGCGTTCGATGTCGCTATCATTCTTCCTAGACTTCAACTTGGCTGGATGCTTCGGATGGGCTATGCGAGGCATCTTCGCAGCTAATGGCTACAAATGCTACCCCCCGACATATCGGAACGGTCCACGACCTGCTGATGTGAAGCGTCTTTCTGCACCAGTCGCTTGAAGCAAAGCATTTCATCACAAGCATTTGAAGATTTTTAGCAGTCAGTCACTCTGATAGCTTCTTGCTCCTAGTAGCGTCCTTGCTCCTAGTAGTACGGCCAGGAGCCCCTAGTAGCGTCCTTGCTCCTAGTAGCGATGCCCTTGTTCCTAGTAAGGTTGCAGAATTTGAAGCGGAATCATTGTGAATGTCATTCCGCAGATGACAATCAGGTCAACAGGCTGCCGAAGGTACAGTCCATGCCGAACTTGCGGAAGGCTCTGCCGAATTTGCGGCTGTAAGAACCACCACAGGGGGTGGTTGGACCTGTAGAGCATGTTCAGACATTTTCAGGACTTCAGGCTCCCAGAAAGATTCTCAAAGGGTAGTGAACCAAAGCATGTAACTTATTGAGGATCCATGTAGCTCTCAGCCGCTCCCCCTTTGCCCAAAATCTTTGGTTCACTCCGGTACTCCTTGGCCTGTTGGCAACCACTGGCCTTTGTTCGAATATTCTTGCTTGCCCTCCTCTCTCTCGTGTTCCCTCCATGGACTTCCATTTGAGGAAGTGCAAAGGCTCTTTGAGTTCATGATCCACTGATCATAACAGGGTCGAATATGTTTGTTTGAGAAAAAGTATTTTCTTCCTAAACATCTAGAGACCAAGTGAATAGAAGCGTGAGCTCTCCTGTGTCCTACCTAGGAGCGTGGGCCCTATTCCTTATGTAATTTAGTAGGAGGCCAGGGCGGGCCAAACAAAGGTCGGAATTTGTTTGAGTCTTCTGTCTTGCGACAGGGTAGATCTGCCTCAGCCCCGCAGATCGGTCGGGGGCCTTGGAATCATCGGTGCACACCATGGCTCGGTGGCTCCTTGGTGTTCAGGTGAACTCCGTTGGTTGCAAGGCCTACAGGTGCGGTGCAGGGTGTTGCTTTCATACCTGCGCGTAGCGCGCTACCCTGCGCTACGCCCTGCGCTACGCCCTACGCTACGCCCTGCGTGTCGTCTCACCGGTTACCGTGGCCCTGCAGGCTGCCAAGTGAGTGGACAGAACTGTCGTGCGTAGCTGATCTCTCGGTACAGGGCCAGGAGATTGGTAGGGAAATGGAGACCGGAATCGACCGAACCAACCCTGGTCCACGTTGGATCCGCGAATGCGGCGCCAACGTGGCCAATAAGTGTTGCAAGGTGACTTGCTGCAGGCAAGTGGTGCTTGTACATGCTGCTTGTGCCGTGCCCTGAAAGGCTTTTTGCATGACCTTTTTGCAGCCAGAGAGCTGCATGAGCTGAGGGACAACAAAAGAACCTTGCATGAGCTTTGTGCATCGGAAAGGGCCAGCAGAGAGTTGACGTTGTCCAAAGCAACTAGCAGAATGCTTTGCTGTTCATTGTGGGAGGCTTGGTGGACGCATTTGATGGACATGGGCATCCAGGTGGAGAAGCTTTGGGTGTCTTGTGTCTTTATTATTGGATTGTGCCTTTGTAGCCTGGAAGGGCCCACAGGAGCGTCTGGAGCATGGCAAGTACAAAAAAGAGGGAAAGAGGAAACGGAAAAGAGTAGATAAACTATTTTTTACTAGTAGCTTCTTGTTACTAGTAGTAATGCCCTTGTTACTAGTAGCGATGCACTTGGAAAGGAAGGAACGAACATCTCAGAAAGAACGATTTGGGGCACATGATCCGCAGCAATTCAGCTCAAGGCTGGGGTAGTTTCTTTGAAAGGTGCAGCGTCCTCCCATGCAGGTTGGCGTAAATGGATACAGCCTCAGTCTCAGACTGGAAATGATCAGAGATGTTGAACTCAGAGCGGGTTCCTACGCATGGTGCCGGTCTTAGAGCCTAGAGCTGGATCATTTGAAGCAAGGCCACCAAGAGTATGGTGATGTGGATGCCACCATGAATGCCTTTTCCCAATGGCTGAGCGAAGCTTGTCAATAACTTTTGAAAGGGAAGCTTGGTTTCTCTGGTTTCCTCATGTCTTTGTTCAATGATTTGGGATTGTCAGGAAATGAAAGCCCGATCAAACAGCAGTCTGTGTCATGGCAGCATGCTCGCTCCAAAGCTTGAGCTCGGAAGGGGTAGAGGCTTACGGCGCTTACGGGTTCCAGGCCGACATTTGGCTATCACTGCAACAGGCCAACTACTCCAGAACAGTTTCTCATGCGCCGCCACTAAAAGAGGGCCTTGCACATTTGCCTTTCCCCTTATTTGGCGAAGGAATGTTTGAAGGTGGCGCTTTTCTTTGTGGGGCCTAGCCTTCCACACGAGGCAAGCAATGATGGCTGAGATGAGTGTCATCCGTGACGGGATCACCTCCAATAGTGCGGACCTCACGGAGCCTGCGCCTCAAAAAGCGGAGCATGTGCATGCATGTGCCAAGTAAGTGGTTCCTAGTAACAAGTGCATCGCTACTAGCAACAAGTGCCTTACTAGTAGTGAGAAAGAAGCTATTGGAAACAAGACATCATTAGCTTATTGTTTCTAATATAGCTTCTTTTTGTTGAACATAGCGATGGCCTCCAACCCAATAGCAATGATCGGCGATGACCTCCAACCTAATAGCGATGGCCTCCACCTAATAGCGTCCTCGTTATTAGTAGCTTCTTCTTACCCATGTGCTAAGTAAGCATGGTGATGGGGAGTCCCCCTCATACGTGCAAGAGTGAGTCTTGTGGTGGAGAAGTTGAGATCAGTTTCAATTTCAAGTACTTGCTTTTCATATTGCATGTTGCTCTACTACCTTTGATCTTGTTCCACTGTTTGGTCCTGTTGGTTTGATGCCATGCAGTTGTGCCCTACCCGACCAGGTACAAGAGGCATAGCATCTCAGTTCAGCAACAGATGCAGTCGCAGCTCACAGATTTGCGTGAAAAGCTGACGTTCCATGGCCGCAGGTCGGCTAGGTTCGTCGGTAGCTCTGAAAGGCGAAGGTGAAAGGATGACCGGACATGTGTGAGCTCAAATGTACCTCGTAAAGAAACTGACCGGCACATAGTGGCACACTGGTGGCTACACAGTGAGCTCTAGGGGAAGAGGAGCGAAACGACACAGTGAGCTCTTTCTTCAACTGGGTTGGTCCTTAGGAGCGCCTTCTCTGAGATCACCTCATTGGTGAAGCAGAAGGCTGCCACCGACCAGGACTCAAACCCAACAGTCCTGGAAACCTTTGGAAGGTCGGAATCGTTGGAGAGATGGGTTCCACAAAGGGCGGCCAATAAGGATATGGGCACCAGAGGGCGGTCAAAAGCTGAGGGTGATACATGTGCGTATAGTGCAATGGGGTATCATTGGACTCCCATGCAAGTATTTCTGTAATATATATATATATATGTTCTATCTTAAACTTACTTTTTGTAATGAATTGGATAGAATAGAGTGGACATAATGGGGCAATTTCTTTATAATATATATTTACTGTATAATATGTGTATATATATGTTTTTGAATATTTGCCTTTTCATTTCCATCATATTTGTGAAACACTATGAAGAGGATACACATGTTTTGACAATGTTGGACAGTGACTTCTCCGCCTTTGCTTGCCATAGGCAGTTTGGTCTTTCGGAGCTTGTCTTCCTTCCCGCCAGTTGACCTTCATGTATGTATGTACTTGGTAAAAAGAGTGTGTATGCCGGGGTCTCATGGGGTCTTCAAATCATAACACCAAGTCTCATGGTGTCTTCAAGTCTTGCATCATACCATATCACGCTTCACGTTTGGAGCCTTCTTTGAAGAACTGGCAGTGTGGAGAAAACTCCAAACGGAACAGAGAGAGGACGCCAGGGGCAAAAACATCTGGACCTAAGACCTTGCTGCAGCAAAGGGTTGCCAACGTCTGAAGTGCGTAAGGTAGATTCACGATCCTGCGCCGCATGTTTGGACTGTCGAGGAGCTGCTTAGCGAAATCCATGCATTGGGACGACAGCTCTCCATGAAAACAGCAGAGCTGGAGGCAGGACGTTTGAAAACAGAACATGTAACATGATGCAATTCATGTATTTATCAAGAGTTTATCGAGAGGAGAGTTGCAGTTTTCTTGAAGCATGGTTTTTCTGGGCAAGCTGGGAGGCCTTGAAGAAGTCCTATAGCTCAACGCATCAGCAACTTCAGCAGAACCTTGTGCAGCTGCAGGCACAGTTGCTTCCTTGTGCTCCTTCATGTCCTGAAGCTCCAAAATCATTTGACATGATTCAATCTAACCTTGTGGTTTAGATGTTGCTCCACATGCCTTCTGAATTTTGATGCATTCTTGCTTTGGTAGATGCACCTAAAGTGGCCTCAACATAGCAACAAACTGAATCCAACCCCCATTTCATCCGCTTTCCCGATCACCGTGAAATCGTTTATGCATACATACCTATATACATGTAAACACACACACACACACACATATATATATATATATATGTATGTATGTAATTCATTTCCTGCAAATCTTAGCCCTTTGGCATCCTCCGGCACTTATGTAAATATTGATACTTCGTCATGCATTTGTATGCATCTGTTTTCAGGGGCAGCTTCAATCTACTGGGGCTGAGATGGTGGCCGCGAAGAAACAGGCTCAAGCGTGGCACCTGAAGCATCCTTGTTACTAGTAGCGATGCACTTGTTACTCATCAAGTATTTCTTAATGCTTTGCTTGGGCAGGGAGGATTGGTACGGCTCTTTGTGACTCCTTGTATGTGTCGGCTGGGCAATCTGCCAGAACTTGAAACTGAGGCCGTGCAAGAAAGCGTGCAGCACAAGTTGGATGAGGCAACTTGCGCGAGAGCCTTGCAAACTTGCAAATAGACATGTCCGGACATCACCAGTTAAGTTTCCCTCAGCTTCGCTGAAGAAGCGTGAGCTATCCTGCATCCATACTTGTAGCTTAGGTAAGCTACTAGCTACCTAGCTACTGCTAGCTATCTACCTAGCTACTTCCTACCTCTACTGGCGGCCTACCCGCCCGGGCATTTATTAAACAGATACGCATCTCTATGTATATATATATATATTTCACAATTTCCGGACAGCTGTATTGATGCTCAAATATCCACCAGGTGGAGCTGCTGACACAAAGACTTCGAGACCAGGTTGAAGCAGGTGGTCGAGATGGGAATGCTACGGTTCGAAGCTCTGGTTTCTGCCAACATTGCAATGTGCTGATGGGCCAGGATTATGTGGAGCCCACCGAAAGAAAGCTAAATTTGAAACAACACCAGCGACATGCCAAAGACTAATTTCTGTAGTGCCAACAGGTACTGGTTGCTCACGGTGGTCCTTGGCCTTTAGAAGTTGGGTTTTTGGGGGTGACAGCGTCCGAGGCCCTTGCGGTGCAGGATGACATCGCGAAGCTCCACGAGGCATTTGACCTGACTTCCCACAGTGGCGAGCACTGACATGGACAAGAGTCCTCTTTTCTGAATTGTTAGGACTTCAAAGTAACTTCAATGACAAAAATTTGGAAGTCTCATATTAAAAAAGACAAGAGTTGAGAGAAGCTTTTGGGTGGCATCCAGATATCATCTTCCCACCTCAACTGCCAGGCATTGACTGGTTTGTCCAGCGACTTCTTTGAGCACAAGCGGCTCACACAGCAGGTGCAGACAAAGCTTTCCAGCCAAGTTCCTTGGACAAACTCAGGTGGTGTTCTCCACTCTAGTAGCAATGGCCTCCAACTTAAGAGCGATGATCTCCAACCTACTAGCGATGGCCTCCACAAAGGCCAACGAAATGATCCCAAAAGGTCCCTGGATCATATATATATATATATGTAGATATGTCTATGCGTGCATTTACTAACGCGCATATGTGTGACACATATCAGGTATGCACCCATGAGATGCATGAGAGAGGGAGAGAAAGAGCTGAGAAGAGAGCAGAGTCGACTTGGATGTAGTGAGTTGGCTCAACTTGACATGGTGATGCGCACTGATACTACCATTTGCGTAGCATTTCTGCACTTCGGAAGCTGAGAGTCCTGTCTCGCGATCTAGGTTGCTGCATTGGAAGACGGCAGGCTAAGATCAGGTACACTGCAAGTGCAGCTGCCCTATGAGAAGGACAGGAGGTGTCGATGCGCAAAATGGATTCTGGCAGATTCCGTGAGAGGATCCTACTAGCGATGGCCTCCAACCTAAGGGCGGTGGCGAGACAATCTTCTTCCGGTTCTTTTCCAACATATTTCCTTTCTGATTGGGCTTTTGCAGGATGAGCTCGCTTCGCAAACGGCACTTGTAGCGACGGGTGTGCAAGAGCGCAGTCGGTAGCACAAGCAGCTGGGAGCTGTGCCCGTGTTTGCCCGGCAAGGCTTTACATCATCAGAGCAGCTTCTAAAGCACCATAGGTAACCATGCATTGAACGAGGCAACCTTGCTGGGGTAGATTCCATGTGCTTCCAGAGTGGTACATTACATGATGGCTTTGGATCACTAAGGGGTTCCACATAATGTTTGAGTGCAAGCAGTGGTGCAAGCCAAGCAAAGCAGCAAAGCCATCCATTCCAGTTGATTCTTGAGTGTTGTGAAAAGGCAGGTTCGAGCGACTTCCTGACTTGGCCTCAAAAACAGCAGATAGGCAATGAGTGGGATCAACCGCCTTTGCGACGACAACGGGATGGGATGTAAGCTGATATGAGCTGTAAAGAGAACGCACCTGCCTTTGCATGACATTAATCGTTCAAAATTCTTGCACGGAGCTGTCCTGTGGATGCACAGGATAGATGGCCATTTCCCAAGTGCTGTGCTTGGTTTACAAGGATTTGTTGCAAAGTTTGCTGTGGCCAGCTTTTTGGTTCTCTCCTTCACAATTATACAGTTATGCCTAGTACTTTTTGTCCTTGGGTTCCAAGCCGCCAATGCCGCAAAAAGTGCATTCAACTCGCTGACCTTTGGTCGTGATCTTTGCCGGCATCTTGATCACCTTGTGATTTGTTTCTCACGAAATGAAGTTGTTGGGGTTTGTTTGTGGATGAATTCTTACCTCAGCGCGTGCCTCCCCTCGCAGTGAAGCTCAAAATGATTAGTTAGATAGCTGTTCTAGACATCCCCCTCCGCGGCCCATGTCGCTGCCACCTCAGTTTCTGCACGCTTCAGAAGGCTAAGGCCCGCTAAGGCGGTGTTTCTTCGCTTTCGTTCCCCAGGACCCGCGAGGGAGGAGGAGCATGGCGCACCTACACATCGAAACAAGTGCTGGGTGCGAAAGGCGACAGAGATGGGCTGGTGAACGAGCTATCCTGCCTCCCTAGGAGCGTACTTGTAGGTAACTAGCGGAGGTTAGTGAAGTAGGTGCCCATTTCTTTCTTATCTAAGGGAGGGGAGGAGTGGAGAATCGTGTGTCTCTCAAATCGATGTTTTTGGATCTTTTCAGTGTCTTTGCAAGTCGAACCGGTTTCAGCGTCATAGACTTCTTCTTTCGCAAGGTGTCAAGCCAGCAAGCGGGCATGCTAGCTAGCTGGGATCATGGATCCAACATGATCCAACCGTCAGCCAGGTGCTTCCCAGCTGGTGGGCATGTTCAAAAATCCTGATCCACCTGGCGCAAAGGAGAAAGAAGTGCGGGAGGCACCGGGGGAAAGCGGCAGTTTCCTCACTCCAAGACGCCTTCCGCCTCCGACCGAGACGGCTCCTCCTTCCGACTCCTTCCCTTCGGCACGGACCAGACCACGAGGCCGAAGAGAAGGAGGCGCACGCGCGGCACTTTGCCGGCCTGCTGTGGACGGTGATTGGGGTGCCTCCGCCCGACTTCACCGTGGTGGCGGATTCGCGGCTCGGCACCGGCACCGGCCGACTTCACCGGGCGGAAATGCTGCGAAGGTATCCCAAAGGTCAGCCAGTGGCCGGTCTTCAGAGGTAGATGGTTTGATGTTTGGCTCGTTGAGCCGGATTTTGCTTCAGGGGTTCTTGTCGGTTTGGGTGAGTGGCACGTTAGATCTCAGGTGAAGACTCCTGTGGGAAGTGTATCGTAGAGTCGCAGGCCATCAGCACTGCGAAGCCGCAAAGTGGCTCACATGATAGTCTTTTTCTTTGGAATGAATTTTTGGTGAGACCCTCAGGCTGGGTTGAGCCAGGTTCTTGGCACATGCCTGGCTGGCTGATTCCCCTGGTTGGGGCTGGGTGGCTGGCAGTTTCCGCTAGGCGAATCAGCTAGCTAGGGGGATCGGGGCAGTCTTTGAACGGGGGAGAACTGCAGTACTTGGCACACACCTGATTTTGAGGATTGGCCCCAGCCATCGTGCATGCCTTTCTGCCGCTTCACGGCATTAAGTTGCTTCGAAACTTCATGATATCTGAGATCAAAGACTAGGAAAAAGAAACAGAAAAGTCCAAACATTTGAAGAACAGGGGAAAGAACATTGACAAAGAAAAGGAACACATTTTTCCAAAGGAAACAGGTGTTGTTTGAAGAAACTGTTTGTTTCCCCCTTGCTTTGCATTTATTCGCACCTCGTAGGTGCCTTTGCTAGAATGCAACAGTTTTATGGATGAACAGAGTCTTTCAGAAGCTCTTGGCTCAACTGAGATCTATACCCAACCACAGCCGCATCCACTCAAGGCAACGGGCGGTGTGAGTGAGGCTTTCCTTCTTTCAGCATACGATGCTTTGATGGTGTCTAATACAGGAACCCGATCGAAGTGTGGAGGGTTGGATGAAGTCAGACTGAGTAGCTACAGCAGACGTCACTTTAGCTTCGTTCTTGTGTATTTATTCTTTTTTGTTTCCTTTTTGGACCCTTTAACTGCCACTCTCCCCTTTGTGGAATGAAGGACATGGCCAATAGCTACGTATCACAGTCTGCACCGTCAACGGTAGGAGGTGCGAGTGCTTGGCCCTCGGCGATCCACGCCAGAAGAGGCACGGAAGGATGGCTGCGACTTGGTTGACTCGGAAAACGACGAAAGCAAAAAGAGAAAGAAAACAAGGTCATGGCATCGCCACTAGGAACAAGAAGCTGCTAGGGTCTCCTGGCCTTACTACTAGGAGCAAGGACGCTACACTAGGGGCTCCTGGCCGTACACTAGGAACAAGAAGCTACTAGGTCGGAGGCCATCGCTACTAGGAACAAAAACATCGTCGCTCCTGATTGCAGCGGCCCTTGGGGCCTTTGTGGTGCCCTTGTCTATCTTCTCCCTTTTCTTATCCTCCAACTTTGGCTCGGTGGCTTGGCTCGGCTTGTCTTTCCGATTTCGCAGACCTCCAGGGGCGTGAAGCATGTTCAAGATCCGAGGTGACTTGAAGCGTGTAGCCTTCAAATGCGCAGAGAAGAATTTCAACCTTCAAGAGGCATGTGACACTTGGATGGGGCGCGACGCCAACTTTTGAGTTGCTTGCATCCGTGGTGCAGGTTTGGCGCAAGTGCTACCAGCTGGAAAACAAGCAGTGGTCCCTCCAGGTGAGCACAACCAGAAGTAATAAGACACGGAAAAGAGATTGCTTGGCCAGGCTACCATAGTGATAATGAGAACGGCAAGGATACCTTTTCATGTGACCCCGGTGTAGTGTGCAAATGCACCAAAACCACATACAGTGTACAGGGCGACACTTATTAGTGCCACACCACTTAAACACAGCAGCAGATAGAGTTGGAACACATGAAAGGCTGGTTTTCATGTGTTGTATGTGTGTTCTGACTCATGTGAGAATCTGCGGCAGGAGCTTGCAGGTGAAGACGTGCAAGAAAGTGCGGAGAATCTGCTCCCCGAGGTCCAAGCAGCACCGAGAACCAAGAAGGATCATTGCGAGACCACGGCCGAGTGGTTTCAGGTCAACAATCGGAGGACACTTGGATCCAGCACTTGGACCCTAAAACAGCTCAGCTTAAAGCTAGCGAACCCCCAAACATATTATTGAAACATATTGAAACATTAAGGCGGGATCATGTGCTTTTTGGGGGTTGCAGAGTCGGCCTCCAAGCTAAGGCGAGATTACACCGAGAATTTCTCACCAATTGGGCCCAGCTGGGCTTTGGCGCAGCTCCAGACGCCCGTTCCAAAGCTGCCAGGAGTTTGGTACATGCACCTTACCTGGATTTGAGCTGTGTTGGAGGGTTCTAGTGGACGAACCCAGCTTGCGAGCGCTGAACATTTTAACACACAACCGAAAGCATGCACCCTTCTAGCAGTTTCTGGCTTTGATTTGGTCTGACATGGATCAGGCACGAGAGGCAAAACCAGGAGGGAAAGCATGTCTCGGCCTGAGGCATCGTCTCGAGGGCCACTTGCAATGGCAGCAGGGCAGAGGAAACGTGGGTAATTAGGACAGTAGGGCACATGTTCCCTGCTTCTGAGGTTCCCTTTCTGTTCTTCAACGCGGAAAGCGGCACCTCTTCCGAATGCTTTCATAGCCCACCATGTCTCGCGTTCTTCTCTTCCCTCATGTCCACCCTGTTTTCGCCCGCAGGCAGATACTACCGCAATCGCTCGAGTGACGTTGCCTATGTCCCGGCCAAAAGTCGGTGGCTTCAAACAGGCTTTCCACACCAGGCAGAGGACCGCCACATGCCTTGACAGAAGCCACATGCCTGGCGGACATGACAAGACATTGTTAAATGGAACATGGCGGTTGTGGTCCATACCAAGGCCTGTTTGAAACATGCTTTACTCAAAGCTGCTGTTCACTCCAAAGCTTCCTGTCATGCAGTGGCACAGGGATACAAGGCAGGAAAAGAGTAGCCAAAGCCCGTGAAAGCGGCCTACAATAAGCTACTAGGAACAAGTGCATCGCTTCTAGTAACAAGTGCCTTACTAGTAGTAACAAGAAGCTAGTAGTAACAAGTGCCACGCTAGTAGTAACAAGTGCCTTACTAGTAGTAACAAGAAGCTAGTAAAAAAAGACTTAGTAATTAGAATTAAATTCATTAGCCTGAATTGACCCGGAATCGCATGGGGACGGACGTCTTCGCACCGCGATTCCGAGTGGACATGTAGCGATGGCCTCCACCCTACTGGCGATGGCCTCCACCCTACTAGCGATGGTTGTCCTTGCCAGGATCACTCCATGAAGATGTCGCATGGATCCGTGTGTTTGCCCACGCCGAGCGGCCGCAAAGATGACCTGGCCGTGATCCTGCCGGAGCTGGCGCGCACGGGATCCTTGTTGAAGCAGTGCCCTGGAAGACATCGGGCGAAGCATTCCACTGAATCACATCATTGTTTTGTGAGTCTTCTTGTGCTTCCCTCATTCTGCCTTTGGATGTTTGGGCAAAAAAGGCTTTTTCCGCACCTTTTGGTGCCAACGTTTCGGAACTCATGAGTCCAGTTTTGGTTGCTCG